TATATAATATATATACTCGTAGTTCAAATAAACAGAACGATACGAATTATTCGGAAAGTTATCCAACATTCTCGTTCAAAGAGAGAGAGAGAGAGAGAGAGAGAGAGTAGTACTTGTACCCTGGGAAAATTCGAGTTTGACACAGTCAAAAGCGTATTAACGTCCATCGCATGTCTCCTATCTTATCTCTTTGGATTTACGTTTCGCGTTAGAAACTTCTCTATCTGTAAATGGACGTATATCTACTACTACTACCACTAGTACTACTATGGTGTACTCCTTACAAATGGATCATCATGCATATTTACAAGATAAAACCACCATTGGCATAATAATCGTCGAGTAATCCTTACCTTAAACTTAACCCCGATATTTATTACTTTTAATGTAAGTTACATTTATATTTAAATCATTTGTGCACATGTTTATTAAGATTATTTACATTTAAAAATATAAAAAATATTTTCAACAAAGCTTTTAATACTATTTTAATTAAAATCGTATTTTTATTGCATTTTATTAGTTGCACCAAGCGTGACGGTACCGAATCAGCTGTTAGGTGCACCTTTGGGTACTGAAGTAACATTAAAATGTTACGTCGAAGCTTTTCCAAATACGATCAATTATTGGGTGAAAAATCATCGTGGAACTAACGACGAGATGCTGTTGGAAGGGTGAGAAACCTCATCTATTATCTATTTATTTATTCATTTATTCATTTATCCTTTGAATCCAACAATGGGAAAAAGAAAAAAGTAAATCTTTCTTTTGTGTGTTTTATTTGGATTTCTTTTTTTTTATTAAGTTTATATACAACATATATATTAAAGATTCTTTTTAAATAATTCTTTGATGATTCTTTATCTTCTCATCAGTCTTAGTTAAGGGATCATTTTAATGAAGATTTAAGTTAGTAATTCATCGTTCGTTATATACACACAGACCTAAGTACAGTGTTCGCGAGGAACGATCGGGTTATAAAGTCCTAATGGAGTTGGCGATCAAAGGATTCACGGAACAGGATGTGGGTAGCTACAAATGCATCTCTACTAACAGTCTTGGCAGGGCCGATGGTACCTTAAGATTGTATGGTATGTTAGATAAAAGGGCAACTAACGTTTAAGAAAGAATTTTCTTTCAACGAATCCATTCATAATGTATTATTCGATAAAATGTAAAATAACGAAGTAACTTTATTATATTTTTAATCGCGATTTTTTATTCATCCAAATTATTCTTTCTTAAATATTTTCATAAATAAATTAATAATAATGATAATCATCATCATCATTTAACAATTGAAATATCAATGATAATTAATTTTCAATTGAATAATAAGTTTCTTCGTAATTTGTGTGTGTGTGTGTGAATAAAAAAAGTGAAAAAAAAATTGTATGTTCATATTTTCTATGCAGCTTTTATCAAATGATTTCAAACCATGGTTTTTATGATGCTGATACTCCTACTCGATACTGCATCATGTTCGCAAACGTAACAAATTGTTTTATCAATCTCTCGGTCGCATTTTTTTCTCTATTTTGTAATCAAATTTAAAAACGTACGGAATTTCTTTTACATTTTCGTTCATTTTTAAAAAGCACGAGATAACTTTTAACCGAACAAACACAAATATAGGAACGTATTGTTTTTAATTACTCTGTGATATGTCAACTTTCAAACGTACCAAAGTATATTTGAAATTTCGATTTATATCAACCAAGTTATGCTATGCCGAATATGTTTATAGAAAAAAATTACGAAGAAATTTTATCCCCCCGAATGAATGTATTTCAAAAATTCGTATATCAAATGTTCTACTATATTACAATACTCTTTTTTTTTTTATTGGATCAATTTAAATGAATACGACTTTATTAAATGAAAATTCTTTCTTTTCATTGAAAAAATAAACAAAATATTATTTATCAGAATACGTTCGTTGGATTCTCAAAATATTTCTTTGGTTTTCAAATTGATTGGTTTGATTTGAATAATTCTAATATTAATATATGCATTCGTATGGGTGACAAATATTCCAAAAAATGTCATTAAAAATCAAGAAAATCGTCTATCTTACACATTTAGTAGAAGCACGTAGTCGATATATCGACGTAACGCTTATCCCTTGACTGTTACAGAGATCAAAATCGGCTTGACGGACAGAACGTCTCGTGGGAAGGACCACGTGTCTATCATAGGCGGTGAGTGGATTACTCGATGTCGCTTGTCAATATCGTTCTATTTTTATATCTAACATTTAATATTATTTATATCTAAAGAGAATAACATATTTTATATTCTTAAATGACAAAATTTGTAGACGTTTGTTTGTTAACAAAAATAAAAGAAACAAAATTATTAACAACGATTCAATATAACATATATTTTATATAATTTATATATGTATAATATTATTCTTACTCGAGTATATTGGTATATAAAGATATAAGGATAAGTGCATTTAATATTATTAATATCTACATGGAATAACATATTTTATATTCTGAAATAACAAAATTGGTAGACGTTTGTTTGTTACCAAAAAATAAATTATTAATAACGATCCAAATATATATATTTTATATAATATATATTAATTTATTGCATATAATTTATATATATATATATAATATTATTGCTGCTCGAGTATATATAAGGATAAGTGCATTTAATATTATTAATATCTAAAGAGAATAACATATTTTATATTCTTAAATGACAAAATTTGTAGACGTTTGTTTGTTACCAAAAAATAAATTATTAATAACGATCCAATAATATATATATTTTATATAATATATATTAATTTATTGCATATAATTTATATATATATAATATTATTGCTGCTCGAGTATATAAGGATAAATCCATTTAATATTATTTATATCTAAGGGAATAACATTTTATATTTTTAAATGACAAAATAGGTAGACATTTGTTTGTTACCAAAAAATAAATTATTAATAACGATCTAATAATATATTTCATATATAATATATATTATTTATATTATTTATTGCATGTAATTTATATATGTATAATATTATTCTTATTCGAGTATATATAAGGATAAGTGATAAAAATAAATAAATAAATAAAATTCTCTTTTTTTTTTTCAGGTTTAGCAGAAGCCGCACAAAGTTCCGGTGCAAGCAATGCAAGTGGAAAAGTTCCAGGATACACTAGCAGCTTGTCGCATATTCTATCGATGTTTCTCTTCATACCGGTACTCTGGCCACGGTGAAGAAAGGCATCCCTTCCTGTTCGCTGCAAAGTTGCTGAGTACCGGATGATTGTGTGCCAAAAGAGAGGGGTTTCTCCATAAAAAGAAGAAAAAAAGAAGGAGGAGGGGGTTGGAAAAAATAAAAAAAAAAAAAAATTTACGCGAAAGTGTCGTTCGAGCGCGAGAAACGTGTGTCTGTGTTGTCTGTCTGTCTGTCTGTCTGTATGTCTGTTTGCCTGTACCTACTAATGCGTGTCTGTAAGTGTGCGTGTATTTGTATGTATGTAAAAGAAAAACGAAAATACAAAAAAGGAGATTAAAAAACGAATAAGAAGAAAGCATAAAATGGAGGGAGGAAACGCGAAGAAAGTGAAAGAGAGAAAAAAAAAGAAGAAGCAAAAGAAAAAGAAAAAAAGGTAATAATAAAATAAAAAAATTAAAAAAGCTCTTCCTATCTTCCTTTTCCTACTCCTATTATAACAACGCGCCGAACGAGAAGAAAAATTCTTAGAGATCAATGGATGTGTTTTGTCATTGTGTACGCGTCTCGACGTAATGATTTGCAAATCGCCATGAATCGATGAGAATAAGAAATTTTTGTTTGCGGAATAAGAAGCAATTGATAATGAATGTGGTGAGAGGGAGAGAGAAAAAAAAAAAAGGAAAATTTAAAATAAATAAATGAATAAATAAATAAAAAAAAAAAGAAAAGAAAAGAAACTTGCCGCCAAAAATAATAATAATAATAATAATAATAATAAAAAAGAAAAAATATAAATAAAAATAATAAGAGGAGGGATCGCGCCGATCATGCTTGTGATCCTTTTTAATCATGCTTACAAAAGAAAAACACATACACATACACAAAAATGCGCAACATACAAATACTCTCGTACATGCATACAAAAATCGTCGATAATAATTAAACGATCATTTTGTCATTGATATTAATAAGCGCTGGGGACGTTTTAGACGTCTCGAAAATCGATGTTTCGAAATAAAAAAGAGATGATAAAAAAAAATACACCCCATCGACGAATCGTTACTATTTATATATGTTGGCGTTATTTTGTGTAAATCTTTGTTTAATTCGTGTAAATGACTAGATAAAATCCGATAATAACTATACTGACTTGTTTAAATATAAATGAAAGCAAAATTACATACTTCGGCAATGTAATGTATGAATTTATACGAGTAATTAATGTATGAAATTTGATTCGTAGATTAGATCCGATAAAATAACACGGTTAATTGAACATTCGTTTTCAAAATACAGAATGAGATAAAACGAGAAATAATTATGAACATTGTTGTAGAATTAATAAAAGTAGACTTTAAGGACAAATCAAATTTCAATCTCATATTTGAATTACTTGTATCTTGTTGGAATTCATTATATTCATATAATAACATCGTTATTTTCTTAAAACTTAATAAGTTTTTTTTAATGTATAATAAAATTCATTTTTCTACGCTTTCTCAAAAAAACATTTAGTTATTATCACGATTTAATTGAATTATACAATTTAACGCTAACATATATATATATTTACGTTCTCCACGTTATTTTAAAGAAAATTTCCGAGAAGAAGAACATTTTTGAACGTTGTTAGAAATATTTCGAGAGAAGTAAATAATAAATAAGCAAACGTTTTATATTATAGCTCGGTAACTTAACTTCGTCCACGCTTATTCTCACACAGTTAGAGAGATACTTCATTTTAATGAGAAGTATATTATACTACATAAGACGAGCGTTTTTAACTTTGGCCAATCTATGATTTATGATCTGTAATGATGTCGAAATATTATCTACGAGTTCTAAAAGTAATGTCATTTGTTAATAGAAAGCTTTTTGCTACTCGTATCCATCTGTAATACCTTAACGCGAGCGCGTAATCGTACAATCATATAACTTTACTCGAATAATTAAAAGCCGTGCCAAATCCTTAATATGTGTCAGTAGATATTTCACATGGAAAAATTGAATTACAAAATTCGAAAGATTATCATATGAAATTTATCACGATACGCGTACAGCGAGAAGTAATATTGGCGTTCGACTAAAATACAATTTTTATTTGATATTTTGTTTGTTTTGTTTTTTTTTTCGTATGTATAATAAAGTATAACAATTATTTATTTTTATCTCGGTAATTTTGAAATAATTCTTTTCATAATTAATTAAATTTATTATTCATAGATTTGTTCATATTACAATTGTATTTTTAATATATCTATATGCTAAATACACACGCTATTATTACTTCACCTTATATATTATAATTGAATATTCGCGCGCGATTAGTTTTTTGCTATGCAGTGCAGTGGCGCTGCATTCTTCATGCGCAAAGTTCTAGACGTTCATTGCGCATGCCCATTGCAAATCAAGATGGATGCTTTATCAGTTTTAGGTGGGGTATTTATTTTGGTGTTAAAAATGCATGTATTAAAGTTTTAAAACGAAATTTATAAGTGATAATCATCCTATTGATGAATTTTTTGATTAATTGGTACGTAATAATAATATAATTTATATTTATTATTCCATGTAAATATGTCAACGTAAATATTAAGTGTTTTTGTATAACATAGCCTAATCATTTAAATAATTCAGTTTACAATTGAAATTTTTATTTGAAAATTTTTAATAAGAGATCATTTAAATGATTAATATTTGTTTTTATATATATCAGCATGACACAGGTAACTTTAAACTCACCAATGGAGAACGTAGAAAGTCCAAATGCACTGGAATGGAAGCTGCCAGATCAAGTGATGCAAATGCATCGTTTAAAAATGAAAAAGCGTGCTTTACAAGCACGTATGAATAATAGAATGCATAATACCAATGAAGGATCATCCTCACCAATCAATAATTCACCCAATAATTCAAGTTTTAATTTGAACCAACCAACATCACTAAAGCGTAAAAATCCTTTTTTAAAAGACAATGCAAACAAGGAACAAAAAGATATGGTAGTAGAAGAAAATTTAGAAATAAGCAATGATAATACTTTATTTGAGTTATTAAACATTAATGCTAAGAAAAAAAGAACGGTTGAGGATAGTACACCAGACAATCCTTTAAGTTTTACCAGTGTCTTAGCAAAGCTAGAAAATAATGTATGCGTACCAGAATTAGAAGTTCAGAAAGGTGAAAAGAATGTTCCAATTGATTGGTCGTTGAAAACTAAAATGAGGTTTATGTCCCCTAAGCCGTTCCCTTGGAATAGTAAATTGAAAACAAGCGAAGAGGCTTCGGGTACTACCAGTTTTGTAAGGTGTTTAGATATCAGAGAAAAAGAAACTACGTTAGATACTAGCCCAAATGCAAGGTAAACTTATAGGTTCTTTTTTTAAAATTAAATCTTTGTGTTTCATTTATAGTATTGAATTTTGCGTTATCTTTTTATTAGATTTCACCAATGTTGCCTCGTATGGCAGCATCCATCATTACCATGGTTAGAATTATTTCCTCGCTCTGCTGGCAAAGTGAGTGCAAGTTTAGGAAGCAATTCCGCAGTAGCAAACAATCAAATGATAAGAGATGCTTTGTACAGAGAATGGTGTGACAGTTTCAGATCGCTTTTTCATTTATTAAGAGCACGACAATGTGCATATTTTTATGTCTGTACAAATAATTTCACTGTTTTATTCCGTGCTGCTGGTATATGCGGTCTATCTGAAATGCATGCCTTGTTGACACCTACAACGCGTGGTTTTCGACAAGCTTTGAAACAAGAAGGTATAACAAATTTCTAAATATTATTTTTATTTAAATGAAATAGTATATCATTTATGTACGATATACTTATTTTAGAGATAGAGTATACTATGCCGTTAAAAAAAGATCATAAGAAGACATTAAACTTAAGTGATTCTGGTTGCGAAACTTTGGATTCTTGTTCTTCATCTACGGTCCTTAATGAAGAAGAAGACGAGGCACAAGATAAATGGTTGCAGAGTCTTGGCGTAGAGAATTCAGAAATTCAAAAAATTAATAGTTCTCAGGTAAATGCTTAATAATATTATGGTTAATATTAGACTATGCATTTGTTATAAAATTTTCATCACCCAGGCGAGAATGATCTTAGAAAAGGAAAGCGAAGTGGATAGCATGAGACAGTCACTGGTATTTGTCAAAGGTGTAGAAGCTCAAGCTTTATTCAATTTGTTAATTAATTGTAAATCAGCTATAACATCAACCGGTGCATTGGCTGGTGTACCACCAACTCTGTTAGCACCATCTGCGTTTCATGGAGCTACTCTAAGACCATTGAAGGTATTAATTAATTCGCTTGTTTATTTTTTATTTTATTTGACATTTTTAAATAAAAATTATCAACAACTATTCATTTTATTTTGTGAAGGTTAAAGAAAGCATAGTTAGAGTGGATAAGGACAGATTTTATTCTTTGGAGTTGAAAGGTCCTCTTTTACCTCACGTATTACCTTCTCTTTGCGATCTGATGAAATCAAGTCAATTAGAACAGTTTTCAGTTAGTTGTGCTCATTTGTCAACGACGACATCCTTTTCTGCTGCTAAATATGGTCTGGGTAAATAACCTTTTTTTATCAATACTATTTAATTTTATTAACACAATAATATAATGAGTATTTCCACCCTACAATCGTAGAACAAATAGAAACGGAGGACGTAGCGAAAACGCAACAAAATATATTCGGACAAGAAAACTTGAGTGATTGCGGATTTAATAGCATTTTGTTACGACATTTCTGTAATCCAGATCCGACTAAAATCGAACTTGTAGAAGGGCTTAAGTATTCTAATGATTTATACACATTGTCGTAATAATTATTAACGATGCTTCAAAGCATCGATATCAAATTTTCTACTAAAGAAAAGAAAATGAAAGGGTTTTTAAAATGCACAAACTCCTCTCTATATGGGTGTTTATTCAAACGAATCGTTTTAATTGTTATGACTAAAAAGGTATCGACTATAATTAATATATATATAATAGTATAATTATTTATTTGTAAGAGACGTTATTATTTCTCAGGAGATAATCAACGAGATAGTTTTAAATGAATTCGGCGATAAGTGCCTTGTAAAATATAATCATATATATATATATATATTTAGATGTCTAGGCGAATAATTTTTATTTATAGTAGTATTTTCGCTTTATTTATATTTCTTCTTTTTCTGTACTATTTAAATTATAAGATTGCAGGTTATAGTAGTAAAACCCGTAAACACGTATTAAAGAGATATTTTTAATTGGAATCTTTATAAGATAACAATATATCATGAATTAACATGAAATCGACGAGCCTGTAATTAAAATTCTCAAACTACTTTATTACTAATGAACTAACGATTGAATCATCAAAGTAAAACTTAATTAACTATTTTATATATTATTTAAAATTATTCCAATGCAATTATTTAAAACTTATTTATTATTTCTTTTTAGTCTACGAACGAGTATGTCTAAATAAATTAACAAACAAAAAGAACATATATATATATATATAAAAAAAGAAATAAAATAAAATTAATTAAATTCGTCAATGTGTAAAACGAATAGTAAATAAATGAATGTTTATCTTTTTCTTTTTAAAAAAGATGTTCGCCGTGCTTTCATTGTGTTTTTTTGTTTTCTTTTCTTTTTTTAATCCGCTGTTAGCGATTTGAACGCGCAACCATAAAATAAAAATGAAAGAAAAGAGAGAAAGCAAATATATATATATATATATATATCTATAACGTTGGATCGAATCGTTTACAAAAAGGGATGGTCCGCTAACATTGAATTTTTGAAGATACTGGAGTAAAGTATAGGTGGGGTCCGTAGATTGAACCTCCCCTAAAAATAACGAATCGATATTTCCTCGTTGCCCCCAAACCGGTCGCTCCGGTCACCTCCTGCTGCACGAAAAATCAATTTATCTGTTATACGTAAATAAATACGCACTATTTTTTTTACTTTTTATTTCATTTTTTTTTGCTTTTAATCTCTATTTCTTTCTTTCTTTTTCTTTTTTTGTTTTAAATATACGAACCAAGAATTTTTAACCATAAAATATCATTTTTCTTTCTTCGTCTCGTATGAACGAATTTATTACGTTAACCCCCGATCCCGTTCATGTGTGTCGAGTCTTTACATTGACCTTAATCAGGAACTCTTGATAACGGGTCGGTTAAGTCGAAATGAATTTTTACGAAACCTTATTCTCTTGTCTTCTTTAACTTCACGTTTTATGTCTCTCGTTATTTTGTTTTTAAAATAATTCTTTACGACAAAAATACCTTTTATAACAGTCATTAAAAAATACGCTTATGTTATATCTCTTACGTGTCCTTCTTTCGGTTCAATTTCTTTAAATGTTTTAACACGTTGACGTAATTTTTGTTTCTCCGGTATTAACGTCATTAACATATTTATTATTTAATCCATTATGAAATGAGATAGAAATGAAATTAAAAATAAAACGATAGGATATATATCACATAGATCAAATAATTCGTCTCAATAAATGAACAAATAATAATTAATCATATATATATATTTTTTTTTTTTAATCGAAATTATAATTACGTTTAATTAGAGTAAAACGTTGTTTCAAAAATATTCGATATGATATATTATTTAACACTATATCGTAATTATTTAGAGAAATATATTTGAATAATATAGCCTGTCCGAATTTCGAATTGAAATATAAACGAACGATGGATGAGAACTAGAAAGAGAAAGGGAAAGAGAAAGAGAAAGAGAAAAACGATCTTGTTCTCTTTCACGGTGTGGTGTACGCATAAATGCGGCGAACGATTACGTCAGCACCCCGTTGCAGTCTCTGCTCATCGTATTGCGACATTCCTCGAACGAGTAGCAGTTTCATGTTCCAAGGCCCCTACGTGTTCTTCTCATAGCTCTTTCTCAAGACGAGCGACTTAACGTCTCGATGCTTATATTATTCCTCTTGTCCCCTTTTACCCTCCTTCCTAAATACCCTTTTACTCCCCCTTTTACCCCTCAACCCAACCCAACCCCCTTTCACCCTCCTACTCCCCCTTCAGTCCCAGTCCACTCCCTTCCTTCTATCTACAATGCTATATCTTTTCTTTGTCATCATACATTGCGAAGTATGGCCGACAAGTTTTCTTTAATTTTTACAAGCTTACGTACTACTTTATTTTTTTCTTCTTCTTCTTCTTTGTATTATTCGTCTCGATGACTAATAATATTTGAATATTGAATAACCCTAATGCGCGTTTCCTATCTACGAGAGATAATTATTATCCTGGGGTATTATGTGTTGTGATATTGAAATGCAAACGAGATCATTTATTTCGAATATTTTTTGGTTGTTTTTTTTTTTTATACGTTATATTATCGTATTATTATTTGATTCGTAAGTAATTTATTTTATTAAATTGATTTCCTTTTTTTTCTCTCTCTCTCTCATTACTTTTCAGTGGGGTTAATGGTTTTTATTTGTTTAATTCTCGTCAACCTGAGATTCTACGTATTCTCTTTTGGCTTCTTTTTTGTATTTTTTTATTTCCAAATTTATCGATGACTAACAGATTTAAATATTAAATAAAGTTGACATGTTCTCCGATCGACGAAAGGAATTGCATTTGGGAATAATATGTCGATGAAATTTTAGCTAGTTTTCTTTCGTCGCATTGTGTTGGATTTTATTATTTTATTAACAAATAATTCAGAGAGATATAATTGAATTAATTTTTATTGTTGTTATTGTTTTCCATTTAGCAAATAATTATTGAAATAAAATATTTTACGTTGCGCTCATTTCGCGTGCTCATTTCGTTTTAGTTTTTGTTTTTTCTTTTTTCTTTTAGTTTGTTTCTTCCACGTTCATTAAGGAAAATTCAATTTTTGTTGTTTATATAATTTAATTAGAGAAGCAAGTTTTACCTCTCTCTCTCTCTCTCTCTCTCTTTCTCTCTCTGCATTCATTCTAACAACTAGCAGCATTTATACGAAATTAGTTCCTCCTTTTTAAGCATTCTACGCATGCTTTGGTCTATTTCGGTTCTCGTCTGCAAAGACAACGAAAAACGGGCACGGACTGCTATCGGGTTTTTAACTGTTCGTTAACAAAATTCTTTGTTTTCTTTTTTCTTGTTTTTTTTTTTCATACGATCGATTTTTTATAAACGAGCAATTTTTATAAAAATATTTGTATTACTGCGTTCGTATAAATCATTTTTGCAATATCACACAACCCGATGACCGCGAACAATCGTGGCTTGTCAAAAAATTCGCAAAAAAAATGAATTAATCGAGCGTTAATTAAAAAAAAAAAAACAACAAACAAAAATTGACGAAAAAGGTAATTAAAAAGAAAAAAAGGAAACGTAAAGAATTAAAAATGAGATTACGAGGAGGGGGAAGACAGATCAAGAATTGATTGTCGCGTAAGCTTTTGAAGTGATGTTTTTTTCCTAAATGAAAAATCAATTATTATTTGGGAAAAGAAAATTGCATTAGACGAAAAAAAGAAAATGAAAGAATAAGAAGAAATGAAAATATAAAAGAACAACATTATTATGTTAGCTTGGTGGTGGTGTTCTTCGCGTGGCATCCAAATCCGAAAATATCCGATCAACGAAGAGGAAAAGTTTCGAGGTAGGCCCGCGCCAAGATTGCGCCATTTCCTTTAAATGGGATGTTCTTCTTTCGTACAAAATAATAAAAAACAACAAATAAATAAATAATTAAATAAAATGTGTAATATAAGGGGAAAGAAAAAAAAAATTGAAGGGAGAAAAAAATAAAGAAATTTGATTTTTCTTCGGTAGAGTCCCCGATCGAGTCGAGGCAACAACCCCTCGTGGTGTATACACATATATATGTATATACGGGAGGGTTCAGGGTGGATAAAGCCGCCGGGTACGCGGAGCCGAGAGAAGGGGGGGGAGGGAGTTTACAAGGGTTTTCCATGGTGGGGAGGTAGCCAAAAGAGAGGGGAAACTGGAATACGCGCGGGGAGGTAGAAAGTGCGAGTGAGCTAGCGAATGAGTTTTGTTCGTTAAATCAGACGAAGACGGAGTGAAAAGGAAGAGAGACAGAGAGGACTATACGAGGTGGTGGTGAAGGGGGTGGAAGAGGAAGAGGTGGAGGAGGAGGAGGATGAGGAGGAGAAGTTGGAAGCGTACGACGCTGCGTGTGCGCGCGCGCACTTCACTCTCTCTCTCTCTCTCTTTCTATCTTTCTCAGTGTGTGTATCAGGAGGGCGGAGGGGGTACGTGTTTGTATTTGTGTGTTTGTCGAACGAAGTATACACTTCCACGAGTAAAAGAGAGAGAGATAGAGAAAGATATTACATGTTTTCTATGTATATGTGTATATGAGTGCTAGTAGAATAAGGCTTCCGTACGGTGTAATACAGGTTACCAATACATCTACGATTTAGTTTCGTATGCGTTTTACCACGGGGGGTTTCGAGAGTAAAGGAAAAGAGAGAGAGAGAGAAAGAGAGGAAAAGAAAGAAAGAGTGAGAGAGAGAGAGAGAGAGAGAGAGAGAGAGAAAATGATGTGTTCGTTGACAACGACGAGGAGGATGACGACGACGAGGAGGATGACGATGAGGACAACAAGGTTTATGGGTAAAAATACGAGGATATAACTATGACTAGGATTACTATGACTATGACTATGACTATGATTATAACTATAACTATAACTATGACTATGACGGGGAGTACGATGAGGACGAGAACGGGCACGACCACTGGCACGATACCGCGTGGGGGTTGCACGGAGACCCCCTGGTGGGGCTCGGACTCCCGACCCCACAGTCCCCCGCTGGAAATGATATCAGTCGCGACTCGGTCGAGGGAGCCCCAACAGCACGACTACGCTCGGTGCCCCTCTGACGCGAATTTAAAGTATTTACCAATTTCTTCACGTACACCTAAAATATCTCGTTCCTCAAATATTTTCAACGTTTTCTTTCTTAATTCTTTAACTCTCTTTCTCTCTCTTTCTTTCTATCTATCTCTATCTCTCTTCTCCTCTGTCTCTGTCTGTCTGTCTGTCTATCTCTCTCCTTCTATCTTACTCTTTTAATCTCATTATTAAAATTGTGGTTGCGGGGGAACAACGTGTACAAAAGGGAAACCATAACGACCGGGTGTTTATCATCATTTGTGATTATAATTTAGTGCGAGAAAAAGTTATAACAGAGATATTCGCGGCGTTACGGATTTTTGGAGACAATCATCATCATCATCATCAGCACCGCCATCATCATCATCATCGTTCATCGTCATTTGTTTTTTCTTTCCCTTAATCTTCTTCTTCTTCTTCTTCTTCTTCAATCATCTGATTCTTCTATTTCTTCTTCTTCTTCTTCTTGTTAGTTGTTTGGTGACCCCAACGTGTCACACGCTTGTTCGAAAAAAAAAAATAAAACACGATTCGCGGAGGTGGGCTGCACGCATCGAGGATTTTATACTAACGAAGGTAAGGAGAGAAGTTTTGCTAGTTGAAGAAGGTAGTCGTCGTCGTTTGTTCGTTCGTTGGTTCATTGGTTGTTGGTTGGTTGGTTGGATAGATGGTTGGTTGGTTGGTTGGTTGGTTGGTGTCGGCGACGTCGAGGCGCGGATATTAATAGAGAGAGCGTCGACGACGGTGAGGACGGCGACGACGTTTAGTTCGGTGAGATGAATCGAGATTTTCTCTCTTTTTTTTTTTATTTCTTTTCTTTTCTTTTAACCCACCCACCCTTCTTTTTCTATCTATGTCTACTTCTATCTTCCTATTTCTCTCTCTCTCTTTTACTTATACGATAGTACACTATTCTGTTTTGTTCTATTCTATTCTCTGTTCTGTTCTGTTCTGTTCTGTTCAGTTTCGTTGTTGCTTACTATCTCTCTCTCTCTCTCTCTCTCTTTTTCTGACACAACGTAGGATGGCATGGCCTCGATCTCCGTCCGTCCCTCTGTGATCACTCATTCGACTTTTCGAATTGTCCTGTTTAATGCTAAGTTTTATTATAAATCCACTGATCCCTCTTCCCCCTACCCTCCCCCTCCCGTTAATTAATTAAAAACACCGTGGATATTTTTGTTTTCATTGGAAAAAAAATACATTGTTCTTTATAATTATACAATTAAGAATAAGAATAAGAATAAGATAAACATGATAAGAGTGAAATTTTGTGTGAGGAAAGTGTGAAACAAAATGGATGTACATGTAAATGAAAGAGAAAGAGAGAACTTAAAAATAACGTGAATTATTATTCGTCGTTCGTTAGTCAAGATTTCTAACATACATATATATATATAAACCTTTCCACCATCTTGTTTTTACAATTCTACTCGTTTCCGAAAATAGAGGTATATATGGCACGTTCCCTCAGGATAGCAGCCCCCTTCGTTCGTTCGATGCTATGCAGTCACTCGTGCTTGTCTATTCTAGTGGCTTGCATCGACCCACCGTATATTATCGGCGGGCGTACGTACGAACAGAGAGAGAGAGAGAGAAAGAGAGAAAGAGGAGAGGAGAGGAGAGGAGAGGGTCGTTCGTCGAGTCGTTTCTCCTCTAGCGAATCGAGGAATCGATTTTCGGGCCGAACGCTGTGTATCTTCCGGCCCCCCTACGTGAGAGAGTGCTGGCATGGACAAACTCCCTTCGACATTTCTATCTTTCTCTTTCTCTTTTATTATTTTTCTCTTTCTTTTTCTCTGCTGACGCAATTATCTCTCTTTTACCAAGCCCTTCTTCGTTTTAACTTTTATCGTAGGGAGGGAAAGAGTAAAAAAAAAAAAAAAATAATAGAAGGAAAAGGAATGAATCGTTAAATAATTACTTTTTCATCGTAATTTACGTCGATAATATTATCTGTTTTTTTATTATTATTATTATTATTATTATTATTATTATTATTATTATTATTATTATATTCTTTTCATTTTTTTCATGTATAATATATATTCATAGTATCATCTCCCATTATCTTATATTTCTCTTTCCAATATTCGATTTAATTCAATTTGAGATTTGTTATTTACACGATTGATTTTTTTTTTTGCAAACATTCGATTGTGTTGTAGAAATTTTTTAGAAGACAATTTAACACACGTGGGTTTGTCAAAGATTTTTTTATTATATTATAACAAATCTTATCTTCTCTTTCTCTCTCCACCCCCTTCTGCCCCCCGGATAGTTATTATTTTATTTATCAAGGATAATAAAATTCTCTTATCATTTTGGAATATGATATTACGAATCATTTTAAAAAATACGAAAAAATATATATATGTATTTCTTTTCTAGCAACATTTACGCGTGTTGTGTTGTGTTTATCGTAGAGTAACAGAAGACACGTGTTCCTGAGAAAGAAATTTCTTTTTTTTTTTATCGAAACTACGAAGAAAGGAAAAGTTATAATAAAACCAAGAGAAAGAGAAGCAGATCAAACAAGCAAGCAAGCAAGCTTGTTGTTCGTATTCGTATTAACTATTATTTCTTCGCGTTAAAAAACTTGTAAACCAACGAAGATTCCCATTCTTTTCTTTTTATCCATTTTTTTTTATTTTAATCCAACTTTTACACACGTAAAATCAAGTTATATATATACACATATAGATATTTTTCTAAATGCATATTGGGGACAAATAAAAAATTTATCTAAACACGTTTGACAAAATAAAAAAGGAAGAATATAAAGAATCAACGAGAGGAAGAAGAAGAGAAGAAGAAGAAGAAGAAGAAGAAGAAGTAAAGGAAAAGGTGAAGGAAGAGTAGGCGGGGGAGGATGAGGAGGGGTTCGGAAGTTATGGGGTGGTGGTGGAGGGAGAAGGGAATATAGGGAGCCCCTTGGAAAGTGCGTGCGTGGGTCCACCAACGAAATTATGGATCGAGTCGAGCCGAGCGTTCGCGTCTGCGCGTTTTAACTTATCCTACTGCTATCTCTCTCTCTCTCTCTCTTGCTCTCTTTCTCTTTCTCTTTCTCTTTTTCCCCCCTTTTCTCTCTTTTAGCTCCGTTCCCTCCCTGTTTTTCTCTTTCTCTTTTTCTTTTTATTTTTCCTTTTTTTTCTCTTCTCTTAACTTGCACGTTTTCTACGCGTTTTTCCCCGGTACCCGGTGTGCATGAAAATCCGTACGAATTCACCCTTAGGAATATATACACCCCCCCCCCCCCATAGTCTTCTCTCTTTCTCTTTTTTACTTTTTCTGTTTTTTTTTTTCGTTTGAACCGTTCATTCTTTCCCCCCTTCTCTTTTCGTTTATTCTTTTTCACGCGTTACCCTTTGTCGTTTATACTTTGTTCGGTGGGGGGTGAGGGGGTGGTTGGTTGGTTAGATTGGTGGTAGTAGATATGTATGCACGTGTACACATTTTTTCGCGATTTATTTCATATAATTGTGAAATTACGAGAAAGATAATGTGAATGAGTAATTATTTACTTTTTTATGTTAAAAGACTTCAAAGTTACACGAAGAGTTTATGTTATTTTAGATTAATTTTAAGAGTTTTACAAGCACGATACGAATTTACATTTGTACGTTAGGTAAAAGAAAAGAAAAAATACATGAGAATAATTATTTTATTTCGTTTTTATATTTTTGTTTCGATAATTCGTACATTAGATAGGAAAACGTATATCGAATGAATTTCATATAATTGATCAAGAGGTTTTAATCTAAGTGATTTAATATATTTCATAATTACAAATAATTTCTTTTCGAAGATAAATCTATATACGACAATTATATATATACGATTACATTAAAATATTTATATATATTAAAAAAAAAAAACAAACTTTTTTTTCGTATCCTATTCCTTCGAAACGAATTTTTGTTTTTAGAAAAGATTACGTTGAATATAAATATAATTAAATTTAACCGAAAAAGAAAATTCTTAGTCTACGTTTAAATTCAAAATTTGTCAACAAGAAAGGGAAAGGGAATGAGAGAGAGAGAGAGAGACAGAAAGAGAGGAAAAGAAAGATAAAAGGAGAACGAGCATATGATCGTTAGGCTAGGTGTTTAGGAAATTTGTTATTCACACTCATTTAAGTATCGAGAAAGACAACTCTCAATAGAACAGTGTTTATAAGACAGTCGTGAGAAGAAGGAGAGGAGAGAGGAAGAGAGAGAGAGAGAGAGTACAGGTACGGGTATGGTTTTTTCACAAAAGTATCGTTTGATTTTAGCAAACCTATGCATATTCGTATATTCATACGAAACTCGTTTATGCAACAACGACACGTGTATTATAAACACACACACACATATACATACATTACAGAAAAACACACGAATACACACGTATATTATATCTAATATAAAAGTATAAGATACAAAAAAAACAAATAACAATATATTATACAAATGTACACTCGTTAAGAAAAGTATAAAATGCGATTTACAAATTCGAAAGGATTTTACAGTTTGGTGATTACGATTATAAAATAAAAGTAAAAAAAAAAAGGGTGCATGATCCAATTCGCGGTTCAACCTATTTAAATGTCTCTTCATGGACGAGCTATCCGTGATGCACGAACGATTACGATCTAGTCAGTATTGCATAGTAAGTATTTCTCTCTTGCAAGTGCATATAACACGCATCACATATATATATATGTATATATATGTATATGTATATATTGGTAGATGAGACAACGAGGATCGAACGGAGGAATGTTTTTTCCGTTCAACGCGTCAATTAAAACTGCTACGACGTTAACGTGATAGTCGGTTCGTGGTTATTTCAATGATGATGTAACTATTATTACAAGAGAGAGAGCCTCTCTGTTATCTTAAAACAACCTATTGTATAAACACATATACACGTGCATGCATACACTTAAGTATGGTGTGTATGTGGTATGTATGCGTTTATGTTTTAAATTTTACAATCGTTAACAGAGAGTTTTTTTGAATTATTTTTTCTGATGATGCTGTACTGCACTCGATGAATAATAATTTTTTCCTTTAATTCGATCACTGAGTGATACAATGAATCGTATTACTTATATGTATGCTTGTTTATTGTATTATTAAATTAATATAAATACGTGCAATATTAGGTTTGTATTATTAATAGGAATTTATTTCGAAAAAAAGAAAAAAAAAAACAATTCTCTTCTTTGTATTTTATACTAATCGATCGATCGAGCGTTAAGATTTTTCAACATCGTAGAATCGTTTTGTTTCACATCTTATTATTCACATCTCTCTAGGCATCTTATATAACACGTTTTACATGTACCTTACGTAAATACCAAACATTAAGGAATTTATTTGTTCGTTTCTCTTTTTTTTTGTCGTTTTTTTGTTTTACTTATTTATTACCCCATTTGATTAATTTGCATATGTTTTTTGTTTTTTTTGTGATGTTATATTCATGAGTTTGGATCAAGTCTCGAAAATGATAATAATGATGATGATTATGATGATGATGATGATGATAATGGTGATGATGATTATAATGATTATGATAATTATGATGAATCCTTGACGTTTCAGGGATTAAAATCTTCTAGCATAATGGGCGAGAAAACGTTCAATCTTACATGGAACAATCACCTTGCAAACTTGTCAGGTTTGTTCGAGGGTCTTTACAAAAGTGGCTCCCTCACTGACGCGACCTTAGCTTGTCAGGGTGGTATGCTAAGGGCACACAGACTTGTTCTGGCAGCATGCAGTCCATATTTCGAAAGAGTTTTCAAAGAACATTATGGGGAACAACCGATTCTTATACTAAAAGGTATGAAAATATTATTAAATATATTAACAAATTATTTGGAAATTTTTATTAATAATAATTGTCACATTATTTTTATATTATTATTGAAATTAATATTAAATTTATATATATATGGTAAGAATTCGATTAGATATTCTAACATATTTTAATAAATACGATGCATTTCCCGAATGGATAATCTCGATCGATAATATTATTCAACAATGTCGTCTCATTAAAATAATAGCATGAATAATACCATGGAAAGGTTAATCGAAAACTTGGACCTCTTAAAAAAAGAAAAAAGAAAAAGAAAAAGAAAAAAAATAAAAGAAAAGGAACACTGACTTTTTTTATTTTACATTTTATTTCATTATAAGGTCAACGTTAACTCATTATGCTAATGAATTTCATGTCACGAGGTTTCCCTTATCGCTAAGCACGATAAGCAAAATCTCAATGTATATTAAATGGGATCGTTTGTTCGTTCGCTAGTAGCGCGCGCGCGCGCGCGCGTGCATCATGCATGATGATGCATGCATGCATATGTGAAACAATACATAGCATGTGCCGTTTGAATTGAATAATATAGCTTTAGCTACAATTGAACTGGCAGATCTATGTATATGTATGTGTATATATATATACATGTGTGTATATGTATATTTATGTGTATAATGTAATACCGTACTATCCTTTAACTAACAATCGTTTACTCTACTTTCGTTGCTACTCGATTTCTTATTGAAATTGGATTTGCATCAACTAGGAAAAAAGAAACAAGAAAAAAAAAAAGGCTTTTTCCTTTAATCAAGGACTCGAGAAATTAATTGCACTGTTACTCCTTCAACGAATTGATAATCCAATGAAATGGATGATTAACACATAAGCAAGAAAGTAATTAAAAAGAAAAACTATATATTAAGAAATTATTCTTAGAAAAATATATTCCACATATTAATATATATCTATATATATTTAATCTAATAATATATTCCACATATTAATATTTATTATATTTTTAATCTAATATATATCGTATTTTTGAAATAATTATATAAGATTGAGATATTGAAAATGATGATATTTAATTTGAAATAATAAGGGTTGTCTAAATGTTTGTTTATTGTATCTAATAATATTGTTTTTCCATCTACGAGGATATACTTTCATTTATATTATTTGTTAATTATTATTTGCAGGAGTTGCAGTAGAAGAAATGGAATGTCTTTTAGATTTTATGTATCGTGGATCAATCGACGTTGCCGAAGAACATTTACCATCGTTGATAAAAACTGCTACAGATTTGGAAATACGTGGTCTTTCGGGTGATCAAAGAAATCAGGATAACAATCGTAATTCTTATAGCAGATTAGATTCTTCGAGAACGCAACGATGTCACATAGAAGCAAGGGTGCATACAACCGAGTATATAAAAGATCCATCGGTCATTCCTTTTTTACCAAAACAATCGTCGGTTGCATCTTTGGAGGATAGCATCAAGGTCGAAGAGATCGAGGTCGAGGACGATCCTATGGTCATGGACAGTCACGAAGATCCATTCGATGAACAACCATTACGATCATCCGGAACGCAAATCGTAAATAAGATTTAATTTATTTTTATATTTCGATGATATTTGTAATTTTGATAATAATTGGTTTTTCTTTACAACAATAGAAAATTATTTTGATAGAAAATCTTGATAATTGATTCTATTGGAAAAATCTAACAAAATTGTCTACTTTTATATAGAATTTATACAATTTATTCTAATTATAATATCATTATTTTTGTATTTTTAGAGACGTATACCACCACCGATGTATAAAAGAGAGACCAGATACAAGGGACAGAAAAGAGTGTCGGTTGGTCGAATAACAAGAAACAGTGATCCATTAGAAATCAAACCAAAGGATCGTGTGACTTTAAGAAATGAGGATAGAGATTTGCCTTACGAAGATGCGAGTAGTACGGTTAAATCATTCAACAATGGTTCTGTTGATCCAACAGTACCAGATATTCAAATGAATGATGATTTGAGAGAACGAGAAGAAAGTATGGTACGCGTATATATATTTTTATCATTTATAACATGTGATTTATTTTTAAATAAATTATAAATCATTTGATAATTAACATTTCTTTAAGATATCACCAAAGAGTCCAGAAGAAACCTTGAGAATAGGTGTTAAAAGAAAAGCAGATATGATTACGAAACGTGGTAGTAATAGTAGTGCTAGTGGTGGTGGTGGTGGGGGTGGGGGAGGTGGTGGTGGTGCAAACGAAGGAAGGGAAATGAAAAGTTCAATAAAATCCGAACGAGCCCAATACAAACCTTTTTCTTGCGACCTTTGTATTCTGGCTTTTACTCGAGCATCACATTTGGCAAGACACAGAAGGGTTCATACAGGAGAAAGACCATTCGCGTGTAACATATGTCCAAGAATGTTTGCCAGGCAAGACAAATTGAAACAACATTTGGATTCGCATTTACAAACGTCTAAGAAAAAAACCAATTTAAATTCAGCCCCATCCATTTCTACGGCATCTTCTTTACCGGTCAAAGGAAAACGCGGAAGACCTAGGAAGGTTTGAACGATGATAATTTCGATAAGTTTTATCGAAGTAAGCTCATTTTTGAATATTCCCAAACGTTGAAGTATAAATTGTCATGATTTTTTTGTAGGTAAATGCCGAACAAACGGCGATGCAGGATTTTTTAAAATTCGGCGAATTCAGTTCACTATTGGACAAATCGCAAACCAATAACGAGGGTTTAAGTAAAAACGATGAAAATTCTGGCAAAACATCGTCGACGAGTGCAACGACGACTACCATGACATCGACCACTACGATTACCACGGATGTTGAAAAAAGGGGACACAGTCGGGATGATTTTTCTAAACAGAGGAGGGACCTCCTTAATGATACCAATGAAATTAAGGAAGATGACAAAGATAAAGATAATTATGGGTGTCAGGTTGAAAATGGTCAGGATATCGTTTAATGATACTTTCCAATCGCGTTATTATTTTTTCTCTCTCTTTTTTCTTCTCTTCAATCGACACGACTTTTTATTAACATTAGGATTTATTTTTTATTTTCTATATTTTCCGCGTAACGTCGTGACGCGCGGTATATGAGTGTGTTGTGATTGTCATTTATTATTTATAAAAACAAAAAGGAATCAACAAAAATCTAGGATCGTTTTTTCATATTGCGCAGGTTAATTATTATCGATTAATTATTCCTTCCGTTTATTCGTGTATCTTGTACCTGAGTCTGATTAAACACTGGCGACTAATAATGTTTTACATTTTATGAATCATTTTTATAAGTAAGAAAGAAAGTACTGATAACAGAAAATAACACACACACACACACACACTTAACTTTGTTTTATTCAACGAATGAGACTTTTAATCGAGGTTTGATAGGATCAAATTTAATGAATTAATGAAAAGGATTATTTGTTTTAATTATTCATCGTGTATAGGATTAGGAAGATTTAGAATGAAATAATATAAAATATACGATTGGAGATTCGAACATTTTAAAATAGGTGGAAAATTATGATCTAATACAGGACTTCTCAAAGTTTTTCCATTCAATTAAATCCCTTCTTCGTTTACCCGAGTAAATCTTTTCGTTACACCGGGTATAAATTTTATATTATCTTTTCTTTTAATATTATAAACTCTCACAGACACACAACAAGATTATACGTTTAGTTTAGTATTAATTTTTATTCGTCTCTAAGGAATTTGTTATTTTTGTTTAAATTTTTACGACCCTCTCCCCCATAGACGGAACATACACTTTGAGAAGCTCTGGATCTAATTTACACCATAAATTTTATTCGACTCTCTATTTCCATCGAAGGAATCAAATTTTTCTGTCATTCGTTGTTTTATTCGATTACCAAAAAAAAAAAATTAATACACCGATCAACTTTCTATTAATACTTCAAATACATACAACGGTATTATAGATAAAAATACGTTTATCGTAAAATATTTATTATGGGATTAGGATCGTAATGCTTTTCACGATTACCGATCGTTTAAATAATTTAAAGATATTATATATAAAAATACGTATTGCAAAAAATATGCAAATCGTTTTAACTTATAATTGGACTCGATGATAACATTGTGAGCCAATTATTTACGTAAAAAAAGAAGAAAAAAAAAATATTACATAAATACATACATACTTACATACATTCATACATACATACATACGTACGTATTTAAAGTAATTTTCGAATATTTTGTCATACATACGATTACGATAAGACAAGTACAAATTCCCAAATATTAGTGCACCTATTGAAAATGAACATTATATGATGCATATGAAGCGCGTATGGTGTGGTGTATATGTGAAGGAACGTATATATATATATATGGCTATTATTATCTATTATTTAAAAAAAAATGTATTTTTTGCATATGCCTATGCAATTTGAATTTGTTAGTATGCGCGTCAAAGGTATAAACACAATTCGTCGACTGGAAGTAACTTAAAGTTTCATTGTTTTATTAATATATACGATATTATATATATCTTCTTGATGTTTATTGTTTATACGAATTTAGATTAGATATTATCGGGTATAGTTAAAAAATGAAAAAGTAAGAAGAAAAGAAAAACCAAGAAAAAAATACCTAAGAAAAATTCATTTAGCATTTCGATAAGTAAGATTAATAATTTTAATGTTGTCAAATTTAATATATTTTTACGAATATTGTTTTACGTTGATGATTTTTATTATATTAATTATTAAGAGAGATAAATACAATAGAGAGAGAATGAACTTACTTTGTAGCATTGCAAAGTACGATTGTATTACTCTTCTTTTATTTTTTTATTGTACGCGTATTTAAAAATTTTATTTTCTATTTTTTTGCCAATTAAAATTCATTTCAAATTATTCTTTATCAGTTATAAATTTAATATATTCTTATTTGTATCAAGGTAACACGGAAATTTCTAGTTTTTTTTTTGTATCTGTTTGTTTGCGAATTTACGTGATATTAAAATGATGCAATATTTTGTTCGTATAATTTTTAATCCGTAATTCGTTTGATTGAAAATTGGCAAAGAAGGAAAAGAAAAAATTAGAATCACTTAGTCCAATTTGTTTTAGTATTTTTAATCGATCGTTATTGTTGTTGTTTGTTAAAGTGGCGTTTCGTTTAAATTGTTCAAACGTTTGTTGCTTAAAACTTGCTCCGATACGTATTATTTCACTTTTTGTAAGATTTGTTTACAATTATTTATTTTTCTTTTTCTTTATTAAAACCATGTGCAATTTTTTAAGTGATATAATAATATATTGCGCGGCAAATTACGAGCAAACAAACTTGTATGCAAGTTAATATCGTGGTTGACTATGCGAATGAACATAAGTGAGTCTTCATATCTTATAGTGTATTATATTATGTAGCAACATGTAAATATAATATATCTCATGACAACATATACAACATTTTTATCCCTTTATATAAGATTATTTATATATACACATACACACTGATATGTGCGTGAGACATAATTGAGAAAAATTTATGTTTTCAACAACAACAACAAAAATTGGGTACGTAATTAACAAAAATCATTTTACGAATATTTTAATATTGATATTAAACTTACCATAGATATAAAATATCCTCTTCTTCGTTGATGGTACATTTATTATTTATACAGATAGGAATAAAATTTCGGGATTATAGAGAATAGGGGATTTGGAATAAAATGGCGAAAAAAAAAATAAGAAATAGAGGAAATGCGATGCATTATTCATCGATAACATAATTTTACTCACTCAATAAAAACTTTACATAATAATGACGTATCACGTAGTAATAATTCTTTAGGTATATCGATCATGCAACGATACGTTTTTTTTTTTTTTCCTTTTTTTTTTT